TGTGGTCCTTACTGCTGACCTCTCAGACTTGAGCTGCTGAATGTGATCTCTGAGCCTCATCTCGTCAGCCTTGTTGAAGTCCGTGTCATTTGAGCTGCTTGTGCTACTGGTGCTGAGGGAGAGGCAGGGAGGCAACACATTATTCACAAAATACAAGCCTCAAGATCGTGTGGGGGGAACATGAAGAGATTGGAAAAACTGTTGTTTCCACTGCTGTCTTCACTGCATGTATACCTTGCATCAGTGTGCTGATTATCTGAGAAAAGTGTAGTAATTCTTTCTCACTGATGTTTAAATATGATATGTGAAGAGAAAGTAGTTGATTGTAAAATGAGGATAAACGCATTGCTTGCTAAGAATGCAAATCAGTGGCTAGCAGAGTTAACAGTCTCTGTGGCAAAGTGGTCAAGCCACCTGCCCCGTGCTGTGAAGGTCATGGGTTATTTTCATGGGTATGTCGCCCGGTTCATGAGGGCAGTTTTATAGAGATCACTGGGGATCGCCGAGGGAGCTACAGAGTTTGTGCTTTGTGTAGCTATCGGCAGGTAGCTAGCCATTGTGGGGAGAGAGACTCAGCTATATGGGATAAAACCCAGTGCAATGAAATCCACCCTCTCACCTTTAACCTTTAAATGGTTTCTACCTCAATACATCGTATTCAATACTGCAAAATTAGACCAGTTTTTTTTTTAGTTGTCTTTCAATAATGTGCAATAGAAGGTAACAGGAGTACATACTGTGGCTCTGTGAACTAGATAGAGGTCAGCGAAATGCAAACCTCGACATTTACCATGTTTCAATTTTGAGTGCCCAGAACTCAGTGAGACAAGAAGAACGCTACTCCCTCCGAGACCAGACAAGTGGAACACCTTGTACGGAGGAAAAGAACAGCTTGTGAAAACATGCAAATTCCACTACATGGCATTGGGCCAAAGGGCGAAAGCTCATGCGCCGCTGGATCGATAACAACAACAACAACAACAACAACAACCATGTTTCAATGTCCAGATTGTGCTGTTTACAAAAAAAGACCATTTCTTGTGGCTTTCAGACAGCAGTACAAGAGTTACACCGTGGAAGAGATTAGGGTCTCACTACAAACATTCCCTTAGCTAGCAGAGGATAGACCGCAGCCAACCTTCACAGCAGAGATATCACAATTGCATGTGTTTGTTTTATTAAAAGACAAATGGCAGTTGCTGCTATGAGGACTGCATGGCCAAGTGGTCAAACTGTTTGCCTCACGCTCTGAAGGTCATGGGTTCATTTACCAGCTGTGTCATTCGGTTTATGAGTGCAATCTTTTTTTGAGACCCCTCGGGGATCATCACCAGAGCTGTGCTGTTCGTGCTTTGTGCAACTCTCTCAACAGGCGGCTAGCCATACTGTGGAGACAAACCAAGCTGTATAGGATAAAACCCAGTACAATGAAGCTGATTCTATTGATTTTAAATTTACCCGATGTGAGAAATTTTTTAATTTTTATTATTAAAAAAAAAAAAAATCAGAGATAGGTAACTCTAACAGAATGAACTGGCCTACCTGGCTGTGCGACTGTTCGTTGAAACATCCTCCCATGGTTGGCACACTCCGGACGAGATGTGACCTCCACAGCTGCGGTCAAGCCTGGCCAACAAATGTCGCGCTACACCCTCGGCCCGCCGCCGAGCATGATGGGCCCTCTGTAATATTGCAGTTATCTCCTCCTCATCGTCGTCTCCATCTGTGCCAGCTGATATATGACGGAACAATAAAATTGTTACTTATAGTCGAACAGCATGAGAACAGGGTCAGAGGTCAGATATTCTGAAACAAGTGAATACTGAGTAGTCAAGAACTGACATCACAGCACATATGGCATTCCCATGTGTGCTCCGTTCTTATCTTCAGCAGGCAGCGCAGAGTTTTACTACTGATGGTACCGGTCACAATCTGGTAATATGTCCGTCTTGCCTTTCCTCTGAGTGTAGTGGCCCGGCCAGACCCTCTGGTTACACCCAGGTGTCTCATTCTCTCCAGGCCATAATAATCTTGTTTCTCTACTGATTCCGTTGCTTTTTCCCAAAGGGCCTTGACCACATCTGCCTTGACATGTATCAATTGACCACCCAGTGGTGCAGATCCAGCCAATCTGTCTGCGTGTTCAATACCCACCATGCGGGCATGGCCTGGAGAAAAGATCCAAAGTATGCTCACTACCTGTAACCTTTCCAGTGAAGCTTGCCACTCTGCTCGAAGCATCCCTGTCTTCACCTTTCTCAGCATGCGTTCAGAGTCTGTTACAATTATGACATGTATATGCATCTTGTTCTCTAGCCACTGAAGAGCTGCAGTTACCGCCTCCACCTCCATTCTCATGCTAGATGTTGTGATATCATATGCTAGGTCTTGCACTAAAGATTATCCATTGGCTTTCACTACGAACTGCCAGGCACTTCTTTCCTCTCAACATTGGATCATCTGTATAGATATTCAGATCACCTGGGCGTGAATTGTCATGAATATATTCTGAAACAAGTGAATATTTAAATAATATATACAGATGCCGTCTGCTGTAACTGTCTATATTTATCACTTCTGCGATGTAGGCCTGGATATTTAATAGCCAAATGGCTAGTGCTGCCACCACAGACTTGTGCAGTCTAACATTTTATTTCTTTACCCAACAGAAAAACCCACACCCTTACCAAGGATTTGAATACAGATCTCCCGGAAGCACCTGATGAGATACAGTAGACTATGCTAAGCAAAAAATGTTAAAATGTAGTTTGTGTCCACATTATTTAAATTTACAACAGGAAAACATTTTGAATTAATGCAAACGTCAAGTAATGTGTGCTATGTGAGATCGCAGTGTCAAGAACCATTAACACCTGTGCCACTGCAAGCTACCTGATGAGGATAAAAAACTGAGCAAGTCTGATGTGAACAAAGAGTATCATCATCATTATCATCCTGTGCCCTGCCAACTGGTGTAGGCGCTCAAGCGTCTTCACAGATCAGGATCCCTAGTTGCCTGAAATAGCTCTCTTGATGATATCCTTCCATGCCATCATTTCAGCCCACCCAGCATCATCTCTCTTGGTCTACCTCTACCCCCCTTTTTCCACTGATCTTTCCAGTTGTCACGATGTTCTCCAATGTCTCTCTTCTCATTATGTGGTCAAAGAACAGTGTTTGTCTCTTTCTTATCATTGTATATAGAGATCTACTTTCATCAGCTTCTTTCAAGCAATCGTTGTTAGTTACTCTGGCCATCCAAGGTATTTGTAACATTCATCTCAGAAACCACATCTCTGTTGCTTCCAAATTCTTCCTAATTTGTTCACTGACATCCCAAGATTAGCTGCCATACAGGAGAACAGGTTCTATGTAACATTTTAGCACCCTCTTGAACAAGGAGGAAGGAGAGGAAAATCCTCACATGACTTACCCAGCCCTCCTAAGCCAGCAGCCCGGCAGTTAGCCAACAGCACTCCCATCTCCGTGTCCAGAAGAGCAGTTAAAACATCCTGGGACTCAGTGCACTGGTCAGAAAATGCAGCCGCCAGCTGCAGGGCTGTGTTGTTGGACTCATACTTTCCTATCAGCACACTCAGTCTTTCAGCGTGGGACTTGCTCTCCTCCAGTGTGGCTGAGAGGACATCGTTTTGTGCCTGGAAACAGAGAATTCAACTCTAGAAAAAAATTCAACAATTAACGCTGGCAGTATCAGTAAAACTGTTTACCAACATACAGGAATAAAATCACAGTCAAGAGAATTGACTTCATTGCACCAGGTTTAATTCCACATGGCTCTCTATTCAGAAAAGTAAGCTCCGCTTAGGTGTCTAGCACCTGAAGGCAGGAGCACACAAAGCTTGAACTCCACAGCTACAGTGATAATCCCCATGGATCTCCATAAAAAACTGCACCCGTGAAAGGAATGAAGAGAAATATAAGATCATGAAAGCTGATTGATTAACTAAAACTGACTTCCTAATACTGGGAGTCGATAGATGGGAGTGTGCAGATAGTGAGCGTACACAGACATCAGGAGTTTGCAAAAAAAGGGGGAGCAAGAAGACAATGAGAGTGTGTAGACAATGGGGAGTGTGTAGACAATGGGGAGTGTGTAGACAATGGGGAGTGTGTAGACAATGGGGAGTGTGTGGACAATGGGGAATGTGTAGACAATGGGGAATGTGTAGACAATGGGGAATGTGTAGACAATGGGGAATGTGTAGACAATGGGGAATGTGTAGACAATGGGGAGCAAGAAGACAATGAGAGTGTGTAGACAATGGGGAATGTGTAGGCAATGGGGAGTGTGTAGACAATGGGGAGTGTGTGGACAATGAGAGTGTGTAGACAATGGGGAATGTGTGGACAATGGGGAGTGTGTAGACAATGGGGAGTGTGTAGACAATGGGGAGTGTGTAGACAATGGGGAGTGTGTAGACAATGGGGAGTGTGTGTGTGGACAATGGGGAGTGTGTGGACAATGAGAGTGTGTAGACAATGGGGAATGTGTGGACAATGGGGAGTGTGTAGACAATGGGGAGTGTGTAGACAATGGGGAGTGTGTGGACAATGGGGAGTGTGTAGACAATGGGGAGTGTGTAGACAATGAGGAGTGTGTAGCAATGGGGAATGTGTAGACAATGGGGAGTGTGTAGACAATGGGGAATGTGTAGACAATGGGGAGTGTGTAGACAATGGGGAGTGTGTAGTCAATGGGGAGTGTGTGGACAATGGGGAATGTGTGGACAATGGGGAGTGTGTAGACAATGGGGAGTGTGTGGACAATGGGGAGTGTGTTGACAATGGGGAGTGCGTGGAGGATGGGGAGTGTGTAGACAATGGGGAGTGTGTAGACATTGGGGAATGTGTAGACAATGGGGAGTGTGTGGACAATGGGGAGTGTGTGGACAATGGGGAGTGTGTGGACAATGGGGAGTGTGTGGACAATGGGGAGTGTGTAGACAATGGGGAGTGAGTGGACAATGGGGAGTGTGTAGACAATGGGGAGTGTGTAGACAATGGGGAGTGTGTGGACAATGGGGAGTGTGTGAACAATGAGAGTATAAAGGCAATGGAAGTGTACAGACAATGGGAGTGTATAGAGAAAGGGAGTGTACAGATGTTGGGTACATACAAAATGGGAGTGTATGCTCAGCGCCTTTGTAATTTGTGAGTGTCCCCACCCTAACAATGTGGAGAGATGATTTTTCTTAAGTATGTGTTTATAAATATTAGACTATTTAATATAATTTTATATTTATTTGCCATTAAGTACATTATTATTATTAGGCACTTAAACAACACTTAGCTTCCACTTCATCCCCCTATGTGTAAGGGGTTGAACATGCTCAATGTGTTCCTTGTGCTGGTGTCCCTTGCCCATATTATCTTTTATTACTTTATATTATCTGAACACTGACAAACCAGTGTTTAACCAACCTTCAGATGATCTATCCTCGCCTGTCGCCTCTCCAGCTCTACTTCAAACTCTTTGACAATAGCATCACCGAGGTCTTGACCTCTGCTCTCCACAGCGGCCATCTTCAGCAGCTCGGCCACGCTGGAGCCATCCTGCAGGGACTGGACCAGATGTTCTGCTGTTGAAGTGCTCTGTACCTGCAAGCAACAACAAGCAATTTCTCAATATCTCCAGCAAAGACACAAATAAATTATTATCCACATCTTTGATCTCTTTTTACCCATCATTTAACCTTATGCACTGGTCATTAGATACACTGTGCTGTGGTTTGCATCTAGACTGCAATATCCCCATCTTTCAGTCCAAAACATCCGATTTCAGCAAAAAACTTAAAACAGTTGTCATTTTCAACACTGTTAAGGGGAAGTTGGAACAATTTTTCCCTCTATAAAATTGGTCTCCCCCCCCCCCCCCCCCCCCCCCCCCCCCCCCCCCCCCTTTTCCAACAACAACAACAAAATGACTGCAATGAGTCCATTTACACAGACAATGTAATATCTGACACATCTGACATCACAGTGGCTTCTTTTAGAATTGGTTTCACCTTCTGTTTTCAGAAAAGATTAGAAATATTCAGCTGTTCATATTTACTTCATTTCTGAAATGTTTCCAGGGCATGGTTATAAAACCCACTGTCTCAGAAGCCAGAGGCACACACACATGTCATGAGATACGCTGAGAAAGAAGGAAATATGTACTCACCATGCAGAGTGGCAAGCACTGCTTCAGATATCCTGAACAATTAATGTTTTTTTTTATTATTGTTATTTTCTCTAGGGGATAAATTGATGCATTACGAGCTAGATATGGTCAAGGTTCTTTGACAGTGAATGAACAGTGCAGAAGCAGAAATAAACCATCATCGCTTGCCAATTACATATAAAGACAGACAGCAAATAAAATGGTCTGCCTACTTACAGAGAACACTCTAGGAAGCAATACCATATAGAGCATTCTTCTTCTTCTTCTGCCTTTCTTTCCCCCAATGGAGCATAGGCCCTCAACCAACTCACGCCAAGTCGTTCTACCCTTCGCCATTGCATGGAGCTCTCCCCATGTCCTCCACATCTTTCTAACTTCATTCTCCAGTTCTCTTCTCCGTGTGTTTTTTGGCCTTCCTTTATTCCTATGCCCCTGTGGGTTCCAATGCAAAGACATTCTGGTTATGCTGTTCTCCTGTTTTCTCAGTGTGTGTCCAATCCAGCGCCAGTGCTCACCTCTTGTTCCACTGGAGCCTGGTTTAGTTCTCTCCCAAAGCTCTACATTCGTTATTCTATCATAACATTTAATTCCCTCTATTCTGCGCAGGCACCAGCTAATGAATGTCTGTAATTAATTAGTAATTGCTTTAGTTGTTCTCCATGTTTCCGCCAAATACAAAAGTACTGATTTGATTTGATATAGAGTGTGTGCGCGCACGCACACACAAAAGAAGAAAAAAGGTGATGGTCACAGAGCTAGAGGCAGACACAAGGAAAATGAAAAGATAAGATCAGAGAAATTCTACAACAATACAGTGTGTTTATGGTGGAGGTGTGCAGACAGCAAGGAGCAGAACCTTATATCTATCTCAACTCCCAAAGCGATAAAAGCGGAAGTGAAGTAGACAAGAAGAAGAGGATGACTTTTCCAATGCACCAAGATTGGATAAGGGTTCACAAGAAGAAAAGGATGACTTATCCAATGCACCAAGATTGGATAAGGGTTCACAAGAAGAAAAGGATAATTTATCCAATGCACCAAGACTGAAACCGGGTTCACAAGAAGAAAAGGATGACTTATCCAATTGAACAAGACTGAAACCGGGATCACAAGAAATAAAGACAATAAAAAAAAAAAACTGTAATATATTGTTTTACCCCGAATGCTGTGACTTCTGACCCCAAAATTTGCATGTCACTGGCACAGGTTCGTAATTTCTTCAACTCGGCTAATTTAGCAACTGGGTATACTTCAGATTCCATGCTCATTCTGCAATAAAATGAAGTGTTTACAAAATATCATATAACCTACACATACATTGCATTGAAGGTTAAAAAAAAAAAATTGTCACAAAATAAAATGCTAAATTAAGTTACTTCCCATGGTGCATGTGGTGTGACGCTGATAGTCATTATCTATCCACAACATTCTATCTCGTGTACTTTCAATCAGCTCTGACACAGATGATCATCCTTGATAGTCAAATCTATCCACAACATTCTATCTCGTGTACTTTCAATCAGTTCTGACACAGATGATCATCCTTGATAGTCAAATCTATCCACAACATTCTATCTCGTGTACTTTCAATCAGTTCTGCCACAGATGATCATCCTTGATAGTCAAATCTATCCACAACATTCTATCTCGTGTACTTTCAATCAGTTCTGCCACAGATGATCATCCTTGATAGTCAAATCTATCCACAACATTCTATCTCGTGTACTTTCAATCAGCTCTGACACAGATGATCATCCTTGATAGTCAAATCTATCCACAACATTCTATCTCGTGTACTTTCAATCAGTTCTGACACAGATGATCATCCTTGATAGTCAAATCTATCCACAACATTCTATCTCGTGTACTTTCAATCAGTTCTGACACAGATGATCATCCTTGATAGTCAAATCTATCCACAACATTTTATCTCATGTACTTTCAATCAGTTCTGCCACAGATGATCATCCTTGATAGTCAAATCTATCCACAACATTCTATCTCGTGTACTTTCAATCAGCTCTGACACAGATGATCATCCTTGATAGTCAAATCTATCCACAACATTCTATCTCGTGTACTTTCAATCAGTTCTGACACAGATGATCATCCATACCGTGTGGCGTTGATAGTCATGTCTATCCACAACCTTCTGTTTTGTGTACTTTCAATCAGTTCTGACACAGATGATCCTCCATACCATTATGTCAAGCTGTCTAGCACCTTCTTTCTCCTTCTGCCCCTCTTCCCCCCTCGAAAAGTTTCCAACCGTCACGACGTACTCCAGTTTTCTTCTTCTCACGACATGATCAAAGAATGTAGATTGTCTCCTTCTGATGCGGGTAATCAGTTCTCTTTGTGAGTCAGTTTCTTTCAAGACATCTTCATTGCTCTTATCTGTCTGGGGTATTATCATGCATCTATAAAGCCACATCCCCATCAATTCAAATAATTTTGTCACTAATCGTTCAACTGTCTATGATTCCCGTTTGTATATCAGGATACTACTGGTGTACAGACGTGACTTTTCTTTGCAAAATACTCACAGCAAGTTGCAATTTTTGTTTGTGAGAACAGTGACCAGTGGGCTGTCCTAGACATTTAGTTTAACTTCCTTTATTTGAATATGAAGGCCTCTGTAAATACTGTAGAGAACATCTGCATGGGACTGGCATTAAGACTTTAACATTAAATATAAAAAAAAAAAAAAGAGTAATAGCCAGGGTCATTCAAGCTCCTTACATCTTTACTGAAACTGTGATTTTATATATACATACATACGCACGAGAGAGAGAGAGAGAGAGAGAGAGAGAGAGAGAGAGAGAGAGAGAGAGAGAGAGAGAGAGAGATAGAGAGAGAGATAGAGAGAGAGATAGAGAAAGAGAGAGAGAACAACATCAGTCTCATCATGTATACAATCAGACCAAGAAAATGCTGGAGGTATACTGCAGCAAACCTTCACTGTGAAGATGGCACTGACTGAAAGACTGGTATACAGTTGAGAATATCAACTTCCCTGAACGAGACTATAAATGACAGTGTGCTGAAATCAGATGTCTCTCTCCGCAGAATGGCTAGCCACCAGTCGAAAGCATCTCACAAAGCAACAACACTGCAGCTCTGGTGGTGATCCCCAGTGCAACCCGCAAAAAAAACCGGCAGCGCAGCTGTGAAATAAACCCAAGATCTTCAGAGCGGGAGGCAAACTGCTTGACCACTTCCCCATGGAGACCCCATTGAGAGACTGGTGTGTAAATCCACCATGGAGACCCCATTGAGAGACTGGTATGTAAATCCACCATGTAGACCCTATTGAGAGACTGGTGTGTAAATCCATCGTGTATACCCTATTGAGAGACTGGTATGTAAATCCACCATGGAAACCCTATTGAGAGACTGGTGTGTAAATCCATCGTGTATACCTTATTGAGAGACTGGTATGTAAATCCACCATGTAGACCCTATTGAGAGACTGGTGTGTAAATCCACCATGAAGACCCTATTGAGAGACTGGTATGTAAATCCACCATGTAGACCCTATTGAGAGACTGGTGTGTAAATCCACCATGAAGACCCTATTGAGAGACTGGTGTGTAAATCCACCATGTAGACCCTATTGAGAGACTGGTGTGTAAATCCACCATGAAGACCCTATTGAGAGACTGGTATGTAAATCCACCATGGAGACTCTATTGAGAGAATGGTGTGTAAATCCACCATGGAGACCCTATTGAGAGACTGGTGTGTAAATCCACCATGGAGACCCTATTAAGAGACTGGTATGTAAACCACTATTGTACTCATGCTTGATGTTTGTTCAACTTACCTGTCAGATATAAGAGGTGAGGAAGACACCTGTTTGGAAGGTGTAGACAGCTGCCCATGGGTCATACCAGGTGAGGAGGATGACACCTGCAGTCGCTGCTGAAGCTCCACAACCTGTCAAAGGTCAACATCAAACACAGGGTCAATTAACATATCCTTCTTCTTCCTCCTCCTCCTTGTTCTTATATTTCTTTTTCATCTCCACTAGCGTCTTCTTCTATTTATTCTCTTCCCTTTTATTGATTAGCCTCAAACTACCACATTTAATGTTAAAGGCTTATTACACAATATTATAATAAACATAACTTTTTCCTTCTTCTGACACCATTTTTTTCCCATACTCCTTCTTGTTCTTATACTTCTTATCTTTCTCCCTTTCTTCATACTCCTTCATGTTCCTATACTCCTTTTTATTTTCCTCCTTATTCTCATACTCCTCCTTCTCAACTTTCTGTTCCTCCCTTTTATTCTTCATGATGCCACAAATTTTCTCATTAACTCTTAAAGGCCAGGTGGCCAGTATCACGTGTATATAGTTCCAAACATCCATGATGGGAAAATGTCTATGGACAATTTTTCAACATGTTTTCTTTCTTCTTCCTTCTCTTTTCTTCCTTTGTGCTCGTCCTCTCCTCAATTTGGCTTCAAACTTCCATATTAACTCTTAAAGGCCAGGTAGCCAATATCTGAGGCAAATTTCCAACATTTATAATAATCTGTACAGCAGTTATTATAATTTATTTATACAGCAAAAAAACTATCTCACAGGAGATCAGACATAGACACAACTAACCTTTGTCATCAGATGTTCCTTCTCTTTCACCACCGCCCGTATCTGCTCCGACATTTGACCCAACTCAACTTCCAACTGGCCTGTCTGTCGACGCAGCTCTTCATTATCTGCCCTGAGCACCACCAACTCGGACCTGGACTGAGGGTCAAATGTGGTGGAGTTGCTATGTGACAGGGAGCAGGGTCGGGCGGCACGTGGCGGCAGTTCCGGTGGAGTCTCACCTCCATCTTCTTCACCAGGTTTTCGGGGTGTCTCTGACAATGCATCAGTCTGCAAATATATTTTTAGAACCATGACTTGCAATTTGTCTGAGTGTGTGGGAAGAATTAATATAAAGATAGTTCATCATCCTCAGGTGCCTTGCCGACTGGCGTGAGCGATCATGCCTCTCTATAATCTGCGATCTCCTACAGCATGTATCAGTTCGTGTGCCGACACTCCTCCTTGCCATGCAACAAGACTGTCAAGCCTCTTCTCTCGTTGTCTTCCTCTATCCTTCCTTCCACCCTTCCACAGACCTTTCCAGTGGTCACAACATGTTCTATTTCCCCTTGTCTCATAACATGGTCGAAAAATGATGTCTGTGATAAGTTGTCTTCAGGCTCTCGCCTTTTTCAAAACCTGTTGGTTGCTCTTTTTGGCTGTCCAAGGTATTCTAAGCATTCTTCTGTAAAACCACATCTCTGAGGCCTCAAGAAATTGTTTGGCCTGCCTACCGATTGTCCAGGATTCACAGCCATATGTTAAAACTGGATGTATGTAGCAAGCAAGAATTCTTTTTCTAACTCTCAATGACAAGTATATATATATATATATATATATAAAGATAGTTACAGCTCTATATTTCTTTATCTTCTGTATTTTTTCCTCTGTTGGTGCACAAACCCTCAACCAACTCAAAGTTGTTCTATCCGTTACTACCTCCAAGTCCTTTGCAAATTATTCATCTTTAAAAGAAATTGAACTAACTCTGAAAAAGACTGCATTCTTGCATTCACATTTTATGAAAACAAATAAAACTAAATAATAATAAATGACACCACTGAATACAAAACATGATTTTTACGCTACAAGGAACTTACTTTTCTCTCATTCTTTCTCAAGCCTGCTTCTACAAACTCATCAGCCATGCTATCTCTTCCAGCATTGGTCTGCTGTAACTTCTGTGCCATGACTGTCTCAATCTCCGACACAACCCGGCTGAATTCTTGACTAATTTCATTGTTTTCATCTGCGAAGCAGAGTGTACTCGTTAGAAAACTAAATAAAAATCCTCTCTGCGATGATATAAACAGTAGGACAAATGAAGAAGAAGACTAGTGTTTAGAAATACACATATAATTAATGAGACAAGCCAATAACATTCCACAATGGTTTCATAGATTTCATCTGTAGCATACAGTTTAATAATGAAACAAGTTTTGTTAGAGAGATTTGAAAGACCTTTTGACCACTATTTCCACCTGCAGTGTAGAGTTAACTAAAAAAATGTAATTGTACAGTTTGAAAAAGAGACACATTCCAAGGAACAATCCAGAAAAATTTATTTACGTGTGGGTATTTAATGAGAAAAGTTCAATCAGAGAGTTTAGAAAGATAAACACAATCCCAGACATAACCCAGCATGACTTGATTTCATTATTTTCATCTGCAGCGTAGAGTTTTATTTATCAATCAAATATGATTAAAGAGTTTAGAGAAATAAGAACAATCCCAGACATAACCTAGCTAAATTTATGAGTGATTTTATAATTTTTTTTTGGAGGTTTTTGAGGTCTGAACAACAGATCAACATCATGGCACACAGGTTGTAACCCATAGGTGCTCCCTTCTTCTTCTAACTCAAGTCCGAGTCCAAAGAAGCTCTGCACAGACTCTGTGGCACCGGCAGGGATCTTGAAATACTTTGGGTAGATTTTTAACTCCAAATTTTGCCGTTAGGCTACTCTTGTCAATTTCCAACTGCAAAAAGATGTTTTACGTGCGCAAAAATGCACACGGGCGTCCGATCTCACTACCCAGAGACCAGTTGGAATTACTAGAAGTCCAAGTCCACATGAAAAAATCCCAGCCCTTACCGGGAATTGAACCCGGAACCTCTAGCACTCGAAGCGGACACCATGCCTCGAAACCACGCAGCCCCATTTTTTCCATCTGCAGGGAGATAAAAGAGTTAGGAAAGATAAACACAATTCCTGACACTGCCTCGCTAAATTCTTAGCGGTTTTTATTATTTACATCTGAGAAGCAGACTTTAAACAGATAAGTATGTAACCAGGAAGATGAGAAAACAGAAAAACATATAGGCAAATAAACAGATAAGTTGTTGTTGGCACCGGATGATAGTGCTCAATTGTGCCATAGGAGCCACAGCACATGGGACAGCAATAAAGACCAGGGACAAAGTTCATCTTCTCTGAAGCACAAAGCCTGGGCTACGCCCACGCAGCATGGCCTCTCTTTTGGTCTGCTTCGGTAACTCCAAGGAAATGTAACACCGATATTTATGGAACACACCATGCTGCAGAAGCTGAATGTTGAATTAAATGTTGAATTAAGAATCGACATCAAAGCACTTGGGACACTCCCATAAGCGCTCCGTCCCCATCTTCAGCAGCAAGATGCAATGCTGCAGAAGCTGGCAGATCAGAAGAGCATTGCTCTGTCTGCCTGACACAGCTTTCTTCCTAGACCAGCTGCGAACTAAGGCTCTGGGCCTGGTCTGCCTTGCCATTAAATTAAGTTTTCAGATTGCAGATAAGTAAACAGATAAGTAAATAGATAAGTAAGTAAGAAGACATGGTCAGTAAATGGAACAGAAGTAACCAGACAAGTTGGTAAACATATCTTCCTTCATTATAATGGTAAAAAAAACCAAATGGAACATGACACAAATTACAGATACAAAAAGAAATGGCTGCAGTAAGATGGCAGACGAGACACGGCAGCAGCAAACAAGACACGGCTACACAAGACATCAGATGGCAGACAAGACAAGGCTACAGAAGACAAGACACATCTACAGAAGACAAGACACGGCTACACAAGACATCAGATGGCAGACAAGACACGGCTACACAAGACAAGACAGCTACAGAAGATAAGACACGGCTACATAAGACATCAGATGGCAGACAAAACACGGCTACAGAAGACAAGACATGGCTACAGCAGACAAGACATGGCCACAGAAGACAAGATATGGCTACAGCAGACAAAACATGGCTACAGCAGACAAGACATGGCTACAGCAGACAAGACATGACTACAGCAGACAAAACATGGTTACAGCAGAAAAGACATGGCTACAGCAGACAAGACATGGCCACAGAAGACAAGATATGGCTACAGCAGACAAAACATGGCTACAGCAGACAAGACATGGCTACAGCAGACAAGACATGACTACAGCAGACAAAACATGGTTACAGCAGAAAAGACATGGCTACAGCAGACAAGACATGGTTACAGCAGACAAGACACGGTTACAGCAGACAAGACATGGCTACAGCAGACAAGATATGGTTACAGCAGACAAGACATGGCTACAGCAGCTACAGTAGACAAGACATGGTTACAGCAGACATGACATGGCTACAGCAGACAAGACATGGCTACAGCAGACAAGACATGGTTACAGCAGAGAAGACATGGCTACAGCAGACAAGACATGGTTACAGCAGACAAGGCATGGCTAAATAAGACAAGACATGGCTACAGCAGACAAGGCATGGCTACAGCAGACAAGACATGGCTACACAAGACCTCAGATAGCAGACAAGACATAGCTACACAAGATGTCAGATGGCAGACAAGACACGGCTACAGCAGACAAGACACGGCTACAGCAGACAAGACACGGCTACAGCAGACAAGACATGGCTACAGCAGTCAAGACACGGCTGCAGCAGACAAGACACAGCTACACAAGACGTCAGATAGCAGACAAGACACGGCTGAAGCAGACAAGACACAGCTACACAAGACGTCAGATAGCAGACAAGACACGGCTGAAGCAGACAAGACATGGCTACAGCAGACAAGACACGGCTACACAAGATGTCAGACAGCAGAAAAGACATGGCTACAGCAGACAAGGCACAGCTACACAAGATGTCAGATGGCAGACAAGATACGGCTACATCAGATTAGACAGGGCTTCACAGGAAGTCAGACTGCAGACAGAAAAAGACAACAGCAAAAACACACCTTTAATACTCTCTCCATCAATGCTGTGGCTGCTCTGTGCTTGATCCGATTCTTCATACTCATCCTCTTCTCTAGACAAGATAGAATAACAATAGTAAAAAAATTATATTTGGGGTAATACAGAGCCATAAGTTTTGTCAAAGATCTTCCAGTCGAATATGGCAGATAGGCAAGGCAGAATATTTAGCATTAAAGTAATTTTTTTGCTTCTGGCAGCACTTTGCTAATGAAGCTTCCACATGTGGATAGAAGTCTCTACAGTTTTGCTGCCTCAGTTATTAAATGAATTTCTGGCGCAGCACTGTGAGCTGTTTTTTTTTTAATCTATGCCCGCAGCAGCTGTGCTATAGTATCCAATATGGCAGTTTACTTGTGGGCTGGTGAAATACCTTACGCAATAATGTGACATGTTACGGTCAACTTTTCATAACTGACTACTTCCATAAACAACAAATTGCAATTCTGGTGGTGACTATCAAGTCTGGCACCTCTAGTAACTGCCTTTTGCATCAACTGTTTGTGCATATTTCTGGATATTGCCGGAATTAATTGTTTGCTAACCAACTTTGATAGGGGACCTGATAACAACAACACCCATTGAATCCTGACTGGTTCATAAAAATGCGACTCCGGCACTAGACACCCAACATGACTCAAAATGTGGAAAAGAATTTTTGATTTTTTTAGGACTGACCAGTGACTTTCCCTCCTCCAGAATTTCTGCCTGAAGGTTTCATAATATGAGGGGAAAACAGTAAGTAAGTTACAAATGGCTATGCGATAGCAGAAAAATATAGGTGGTGGTTTCTAAAGGTGTCATTAGGTGACAGCAACATCAAACTTTATGTCTCCGTTCATAAGGTGGTGCTAGGTGTTGCATGCACATTCGCAACAAAGAAACAAAATGACGACTGTACTTAAGGAGTGTACCTTCAAAGAACAATGTGCTGTTGTGCAGTTTTTTCTTTAAAGAGGGTGTGGGGGAAGAGCTGCCTGCAAAGGACATTCAAAAGAAATGCTTCCTGCTTATGCTGGCACATGTTTATCCCGTAAAGCGGTGCATAGCTGGGTAAACATTTTTCTCAAGGGGGCTTCAAAATTGTTGATAAAGTCCGATCTGGTCGTCCTGTTGAGATTGCAAAATATGCATCCATTACAGGTGAGCAGCAGCTGACTCTGTAGCAGCTGCAATAGGGTGCTCACATGGCTCAACATACAACATAATGCATTATCAATTGAAATTTAAGAAAGTGTGCTCAAGATGGGTACCCAGACAATTACCAGGTGAACACAAAATAAACCAATTACGCCTGTCCTTGCAGCATTTCTGTCGATATGCATATGAAGGAGAAGACATGCTGAACAGGATTAATACTGGGGACGAATCATGGGTGCATCACTACTAGCCCAAATCAAAGTGTGCTTCAATGCAATGGAAACATGCTTCTTCACCTTGTGTTCAAAAATTCAAGAAAGGCCATCAGCAGGGAAGTTTATGCTGAGAGTGTTCTGGAACTGTCAAGGAGTGCTTTTAACCAATTTAAAAGGTGACAATATCCAATGCACTAAGACTGAAACCGGGTTGACAAGAAGAGGATGACTGATTCATACTGTAAAGTTCTATCGATGCTTATGATGCAATTCGAAGAAAATATCAAATTCTTCCAGGCACACATACACTGTCCCTTTATTTTCCAACGTTATTTCCACCAAAATTGATGCCCTTGTCCCATCGTTTTATCAGTTTTCCCAAATCTGTTGCATAGAACTGCGTGCAGTTTTGTAAACCACATTTTCACTTCACATTCAACTTCTGCATCATTCGCAAAATGTCTCCCGTCAAGGTAGGTTTTCAGTGGACCAAAAAGGTGGAAATCGCTATGGGCCAAGTCGGGGCTGTAAAGTGCATGTTCCAGAAGTTCCCACTCTAGATGGTAAATTTTCTCATGTGTTAACCAAGCTGTGTCTTGTCTGGCATTGTCATGCAAGAGCAGTAAAATACCAAAAGGCACATCATGTCAGCCACATTTACTTCCCAGGTTATGAGTGGACAAAAACTGAAAGAGACTTCAGTCTCAGCAAAACCAATAGCATATACACACATTAAATGTGCGCGCGGGCACACACACACATATATATATACATACACATACATATATAAATATGTACATACAAACACACACACATATATATATATATATATATATACATACACATATATATACACATACAAAAATATTTACATACACATGTATATATACAAACACACACACACACACACACACACACACACACACACATATATATATATATATATATATATATATATATATATATATATATATATATATATATGTGTGTGTGTGTGTGTGTGTGTGTGTGTGTGTTTGTATATATACATGTGTATGTAAATATTTTTGTATATATATATACATGCACTTTATATATACATACACATACAATGTATATATATATATATATATATATATATATATATATATATATATATATATATATATATATATATATATATATATATATATACACACACACACACATATATATGACATTAATCTGATGTCTCTCACTGCAATTGACACTCACAACAACACCAGACAACAAGGCAAACCAACCACCAACAGACCTGATGACATTAATCTGACATCTATTCACTGCAACTGACACCCACAACAACACCAGACAAGAAAAACCACCAACAACAGACCTATGACATTAATGTGACGCCTCTCACTGCAACTGACACCCACAACAACACCAGACAAGAAAAACCACCAACAACAGACCTATGACATTAATGTGACGCCTCTCACTGCAACTGACACCCACAACAACACCAGACAAGAAAAACCACCAACAACAGACCTATGACATTAATGTGACGCCTCTCACTGCAACTGACACCCACAACAACACCAGACAACAATACAAACCAACCACCAACAGACCTGATGACATTAATCTGATGTCTCTCCAGCTTCTTCCTCAGCTCCGCGATGACACTGTGCAGCTCAATGATCCTCTCCTCGTATCTTGAAGTCAGCTGCTCCAGCCGCTCTTCGAAATCTGAGGGGCCCAGTTTGGGGTCATGGGGTCCCTGGACATGTACACATTTAATTATTCACAGAGTGTGTTTGTACGCATGCATCATCATTCTTCATGTTTTGTTAGTCGTCATACAGGGTTCGCATTTAATTGCTCCACTCCACTCTATTGCATGCAACTATCTCTTAATTTCTAACACAGCCCAGTGTTTTCAGCTTCTTTCAATAGAGTTCTTCTTAAAGTTTCCCTGAGATGTCCTCTTTTCTCAGACCATTTGTTTCCCATTTGTGTGCTTGTTTTACAATTCTTGCCTCATTTAATTTCAGAGTGTGCTCAATATATCTCCATCTTCTTTGTCTTACTGCAGGTGTATCAACTATACATACACACACACACACACACACACACACACACACACACACACACAGAGCTTTTTCTGGTTGCAGATTACATTACTCTGTAGTGGCATCTTTCTGCCATTGCTACTGTAATACACACATTGTGGTGAGCATGGCATCTTTTATGGCCACTCTGTGGTGAGTGATGACACTCTAATTTTAATAGCAAAAATGCCCTGTGTGTCGATGTATATCTCTCTCTCTCTCTCTCTCTCTGTGTGTGTGTGTGTGTGTGTGCGTGTGTGTATTCTCATATGTGTGTGTGTGTGTGTGTGTGTGTGTGTGTGTGTGTGTGTGTGTATGTGTGTGTGTGTGTGTGTGTGTGTGTGTGTGTGTGTGTGTGTGTGTGTGTGTGTGTGTGTGTGTGTGTGTGTGTGTGTGTGTGTGTGTGTGTGTGTGTGTGTGTGTGTGTGTGTGTGTGTGTGTGTGTGTGTGTGTGTGTGTGTGTGTGTGTGTGTGTGTGTGTGTGTGTGTGTGTGTGTGTGTGTGTGTGTGTGTGTGTGTGTGTGTGTGTGTGTGTGTATGTATGTATGTGTATGTATGTATGTGTGTGTGTGTGTGTGTGTATGTATGTATGTATGTATGTATGTATGTATGTATGTATGTATGTGTGTGTATGTGTGTGTGTATGTGTGTGTGTGTGTGTGTGTGTGTGTGTGTGTGTGTGTGTATGTATGTGTGTGTGTGTGTGTGTGTGCGTGCGTGCGTGCGTGCGTGCGTGCATGCGGTGTGTGTGTGTGTGTGTGTGTATGAATGTATGTATGTATGTATGTATGTATGTATGTATGTATGTATGTATGTATGTATGTATGTATGTATGTATGTATGTATGTATGTATGTATGTATGTATGTATGTATGTATGACATTCAGTATTTGCCATTGCTTCCTGAACAGCTGGTTCTCGCTACCAGTCAAAATCAGCTCAAGGCGGTCTGCTGTCAAAATCTCCTGCAGCTGGGACTAAAGCTGGCACCTCAGCATTACGATGCTCATTCACAATGATGCTCATTCACAGATGCCAACATATATAGACATATGATAATATCAGTGCCCTGCAAATTTGTACATATAAATATGGGTCTTTTAACGTATATGGATGCACCAAGGACATAAACAAGGCTCTTTCCCTTTACTGCAGAATTCACTCACCCTGCTGCGATTATTCCTATATAATCTCAGGAGAAAGACAGGAATATTTATGGAGGCTTACATATACAAATACAGTGATTTTTTTTACCAGTTAATAAATTAACTAGCTATTGCTGCCCATCGAGCAATAGATCGCAAACTGTTCCTCCCCACGGTGCTTTAGGGCAGTGTGGAAATTGAGGATGATCATGAGAGATACTACCAGCAGGTAGGCGTTGTCTAGCAAAGCTTAGGGTCTCACAAGAACTATCGCCACACCAAGGGGCACATAAATTGGTTTATGTGCCTTCCTGCATGTGTAAATTAACTATAGTTACAAACAGGACGACAACCACCACCCCCTTTTTCCCCCGTGTTAAAAAAACAACTTAAAGAGATTGCAGTCTCAGAAAAAACCAACAGCATCCACACGGATTTTTTGCATCAGGCAGCCATCAGAAATGTCACCACATACAGTCTGCCACTAGAGTTGCAGCTGATCATTGATAGACAGAAACAGTAGTTACAGAAATTGGCAGCTGCACATGCAATAAGGCACCACCAGTTCCGTAGCAACAGGGCACTCATGTTTTTTTTTTCAAGTCTGCATTTTACAAAACAGACCATTTTGGGTACAGGTGAAAAGCATTCCACATTAAATCTGCAGCTCAGTTGTATGCTATTCCCTCAACTTAGTAGCTGGGTGATGGAACTATGTATTCAGTCCATATAAAGAAGATAATACAACAGCTAACCATGGCTAGAAGCAAATACTTTGCCAAAACTAAAACTGTCAGCCTGCCTTCCCACCACCTTTGGGCTGGAAATTCATATTTTACAAGAAACACCAAATAACTGGCCTCACCTTTTGGGTGCATCTCGGAACCTAGGCATGCCCTATCATTTGGAAAAAAAAAACCAAAAGGCATACAAAAACATTTCTACCTGTCTATGTGCTGCATGTCCGTCCAGCATGCTCCTCTCTGATGCCAGTCTGTGCACCTGGTGTTTCAGCTCAAATATTTCTCCCTTCAAGGCCGTCAACGCTGCAGAATGGAGCTGAAAAACAACATGCAGTAACTTATTAAATGCACAGTAGTAGAAGAAGTACCTTGCAGTGGCTGCTGCATTGGAGGACTGAGCACGCATGGGAATGCCCAGTGTGCAGTGACGTCGATTGTGATAACATAACATAGCAACTCAGGATTCAGATGTTTTGTTTAAAATGAGTTAGGAACTATTATCACAGCCATGCAAGACATTCCAATACATGATCTGTCCTTATCTTCAACAGCCAATGAAGAGTACCTATTCTGATGGCACCAGCAGTAGTTCGATTATTCACCCATCTTGCATTCCTTTCAATGCTGAGAGTCGGCCTAATCTCCAGCTCACTTCCTGCAGTGCCATTTTTTTCCTGCCTTGATTCAGCATGTTTTTTTTCCTTTATCTGTTCTTTTTTTTTTTTTTACTTGTAGTTTCATCATAAAGCAAGTTACTATGTACTGGTTCTTTCAAGCCTGTAGCTTGGTACATCTACAATTTTTAGGAGGGTGAGGTTGAGAGAATTGCTTTTCCAAGCTTTCAACTGTCCCTATTCTCTACCTGCAAGGCAGCAGGTTTGTGTCTCTGTCTGCTCCCTGTTCCTTGACCTGTCTGACATGAGAGATCCTGCAAGGCAGCAGGTTTGTGTCTCTGTCTGCTCCCTGTCCCCTGACCTGTCTGACATGAGAGATCCTGCAAGGCAGCAGGTGTATGTCTCTGTCTGCTCCCTGTCCCTTGACCTGTCTGACATGAGAGATCCTGCAAGGCAGCAGGTTTGTGTCTCTGTCTGCTCCCTGTCCCCTGACCTGTCTGACATGAGAGATCCTGCAAGGCAGCAGGTTTGTGTCTCTGTCTGCTCCCTGTTCCTTGACCTGTCTGACATGAGAGATCCTGCAAGGCAGCAGGTTTGTGTCTCTGTCTGCTCCCTGTCCCCTGACCTGTCTGACATGAGAGATCCTGCAAGGCAGCAGGTGTATGTCTCTGTCTGCTCCCTGTCCCTTGACCTGTCTGACATGAGAGATCCTGCAAGGCAGCAGGTTTGTGTCTCTGTCTGCTCCCTGTCCCCTGACCTGTCTGACATGAGAGATCCTGCAAGGCAGCAGGTTTGTGTCTCTGTCTGCTCCCTGTTCCTTGACCTGTCTCACATGAGAGATCCTGCAAGGCAGCAGGTTTGTGTCTCTGTCTGCTCCCTGTCCCCTGACCTGTCTGACATGAGAGATCCTGCAAGGCAGCAGGTTTGTGTCTCTGTCTGCTCCCTGTTCCTTGACCTGTCTGACATGAGAGATCCTGCAAGGCAGCAGGTTTGTGTCTCTGTCTGCTCCCTGTCCCCTGACCTGTCTGACATGAGAGATCCTGCAAGGCAGCAGGTGTATGTCTCTGTCTGCTCCCTGTCCCTTGACCTGTCTGACATGAGAGATCCTGCAAGGCAGCAGGTTTGTGTCTCTGTCTGCTCCCTGTTCCTTGACCTGTCTGACATGAGAGATCCTGCAAGGCAGCAGGTTTGTGTCTCTGTCTGCTCCCTGTCCCCTGACCTGTTTGACATGAGAGATCCTGCAAGGCAGCAGGTGTATGTCTCTGTCTGCTCCCTGTCCCTTGACCTGTCTGACATGAGAGATCCTGCAAGGCAGCAGGTGTATGTCTCTGTCTGCTCCCTGTCCCCTGACCTGTCTGACATGAGAGATCCTGCAAGGCAGCAGGTGTATGTCTCTGTCTGCTCCTTGTCCCTTGACCTGTCTGACATGAAAGATCCTGCAAGGCAGCAGGTGTATGTCTCTGTCTGCTCCCTGTCCCTTGACCTGTCTCATTCACATCCATGAGATGTTAATCCCACTGAATATTTGATTCCCATCCATGAGATGTTAATCCCACTGATTATTTGATTCTCCTCCATGAGATGTTAATCCCACTGAATGTCTCATTCCCATCCATGAGATGTTAATCCTACTGAATGTTTGCTTCTCATCCATGAGATGTTAATCCCACTGAATGTCTGATTCACATCCCTGAGATGTTAATCCCACTGAATGTCTCATTCACATCACTGAGATGTTAATCCCACATAATTTTGACTCTCATCCCTGAGATGTTAATCCCACTGAATATTTGATTCCCATCCATGAGATGTTAATCCCACTGATTATTTGATTCTCCTCCATGAGATGTTAATCCCACTGAATGTCTCATTCCCATCCATGAGATGTTAATCCTACTGAATGTTTGCTTCTCATCCATGAGATGTTAATCCCACTGAATGTCTGATTCACATCCCTGAGATGTTAATCCCACTGAATGTCTCATTCACATCACTGAGATGTTAATCCCACCATAATTTCCTTTAGACTCTCATCCCTGAGAAAAAAAAAAAAAATAAGTACAGATCAAAAAGTTCCATAGACACGTCTGCTATGTGGCAGCAATCCTCAACTTGAATACCACCACAATTCTACCTCAATTTGTAAATGTGGCCAGTGTTTTTATCCAATGTGAACCAAATCATAATGTCGCCTTCAAAGAAAGTCATCATTCGGCTGCGTGCCATTCAAACATGGCCAACAAACGCACATAACTGGCATGTATTGATTCCTATGCTATTTGGGAATAACTTTCTGGGAGACCCGCTTATTTTTTACATGCAGATTTCACGCGTCTGTATGAAATAAAGAAGGATAATGTGAAACAGGGGAGAAATAAAACATGAAAGAGATGAAGTTGCAAGGATGTGTTATAAGGTTAGAATATAGGAACTAGAAGTAATATCTGGAGAAAATGTATATCTTTTAAAGTCCGATGGAAGGATGGATGGATGAAAGGCTCTTTTGATGGATGAAAAATCATACATATGAACGAGAGAGATACAGAGAGAGAGAGAGAGAGAGAAGGGGGGGGGGAGGGAGAGAGAGTGTGTGAGGGTGGGGGGGGGGTGTTGTGTGTTTGTGTGCGTGCGTGTGTGTGTGTGTACAAGCTGTATCTTATTTAGCTAATATATAAATCCAGCGCTGACTTTAAACAATCGGAGTCACCAACTGGAAAGAGAAAGCCAATCCTCTAGATCAGCGGTTCTCAACCTATGGGTCGGTTCTCAGCCTATGGGTCGGTTTTCAGCCCAAATACACACTAGCTCACTTCTGATTAGTAGTTCCTGAGCCCCATGGCCTTCGTACAAGATCACAGGGGTGTTCCGCAACGCCGTTGATATCGCCTGTTGTATATTTCCAGTTCCAATTTGTGCAGAACAAAAATTCCAAACTTCGGCGACGTTTAACCAGCTCATATCTGAGCGACGGTTATTTAGTCGGCTGTGTTTCTTTGTAGATTAAATCTTGACTGGTAATGTATTTTTCAGCACGCCAGCGCTTTTAACACTCCAAAAACATGGAGAAACTGGGTCTAACACAACTTCCCTAGAGAGTGCTGCAAACTATGTCACAGGCATTCTCTTTCTCGGAATGAAAACGTAAATGCAAGACATCGAAGAAACCAAACAACAGAGCGGGACACACCCGTAACCTTCAGGAAAGTCGACCATCCCAACAAACACTTTTTCAACATGTCTCGAATACCTTTCATTTGTCTGGCTACCACTATAATCTCCATGCTCTGTTTATATTTATTCGATGGATCAACATCATGGCACACGGGTGTAACCCGTAAGTGCTCCGTTCTACTTCTAACTCAAGCCTGAGTCTAAAGAATCCCCGCTCAGTGCACGAACTCCGTTGCAACATCGAGGGTCCTGAAATACTTTGGGTAGATTTTTTTAACTCCAAATTTTGCCCGGGCAGCGCCGTTAGGCTACTCTTTTCGATTTCCAACTGCCAAGGGATGTTTTAACGTGCGCAAGAATACACAGGGGCGTCCGATCTTACCACCCGGAGACCAGGGGAAATTACTAGAAGTCCACGTGAAAATATAATCCCAACCATCTCCGGGGCTTGAATCTGGGACCTCCAGCACTCGAGGAGGACACCATACCTTGAGACCACTATACTCTTTAACCTTATTTTATTTCCAGCGGGTTCACAGTGGCCCCAGACCACATTACCAATGCCCCCCCCCCCCCCTCACACTTACATCTCTGAGCAGTTTCGGAACATGCACTAGTTTAATACACACATAAAATAAGTATTAATCTCACATTATATTAGGTCTCAGCACGAATAAAACACATCTCATTTCCATAACACATTTTTAGAGGGCAGGAATGTGGCCTTGAGGGTCTGAACATGGCACGCACGTGTGTGAGCACACGCGAGCTCAGACACATAGATACAACATCGCCTTGATGAGGATTCGAACCCAAAAGCATCAAGAAATCAACATACTGCTGAGTTTAGAAGTGCAAAAAATGTGTAAAACTAGGATTGGGGAGGAGAAGGAGCGTTGGACAACGTGAATACATAAAACAATTCTACACTTGCTTACAGTATACTCAATCCTCGACTATTTTACATTGCTTTTTTAACTCTTTCCTTAAAACAACGATAGTGTTTATGATGGAGGGATCCGCTGCAGGAGAGAGAGAGAGAGAGGAGAGAGAGAGAGAGAGAGAGAGAGAGAGAGAGAGAGAGAGAGAGACTCTTGAACACGCGTCGCCGACATGTATAATCAGCTTACACGGAAACTCAAGCCGCAGTTTGTCTCAACATTTCTACAACTGCAGAGCAACCAGTCTTCGGGCAAGGAAACTCTAGCCGCAGTTCGTCTCAACATTTCCACAACTGCCGAGCACCCAGTCTTCGAGTGCTGGAGTTGATTCTGCTGCGTTTCGTGGCCAACAGATTACGTCAACACAAATAACCGCGCCTTTCACATACACAAGTTCCCCGTGTGGGTTCCGGCGCCCTATTATAGGGGGCAAAAAAGAATAGATGCACTGCCTACACAAAGCATGTCGTAAGAATCAACTAATTGGGAGCTCCCTTCGAAGTCGGAGTACATCTGCCTGAGAGGCAAGGAACCAGCAGTCTGCATACAAGTGAGTCAGATCTGCACACGCAGCACTCAGGTTCTGGAAC